ACACACACACACACACACACACACACACACACACACACACACACACACACACACACACACACGCACACACACACACACACATATATATATATATATAATATATAATTTGTTTTATCTATATATAATGCTAAATTATACGGCTAACTTTTATCACAATTTTTACATAATGCTACTAGGCACTTGTATATTGCATTGTTGCATATACGCTTCAATAAAGTCTCTAATATTATCAATGTTTTCTTAATTTGTTATTGTAGTTAAGCATTATTCTTATTAATACTGTTTTATGAAAATGTGCCCTGACCAGGCCATCACTCGCAATGTCGGTGTGAAATTATACCCTTGATGTGAATTACGGTATTTATTTCCTAATCGGGAATGCTTTTCTCCGCTGCTGCAGCATGCACCGTTGACGGTAAGACGTACAAGATCGGAGACCAATTCATGGCATCGCCTCCCGGGTGTGCGAGATGCGAATGCCTTGATAAAGAAGGCTACGTATGTTTAGGGTATGTGTAGGCCTATCCATGCAGTGCGTTCATAGCATCCGCAGGTTATTTCATTGATATGTAAAACCTAAATCATCTCATTTGACCGATATCCATGTTTTCGGCATATAATGCAAGCATGTGACAAGCATCTCAGTGTCAAACAAAAGCTAATCTTGTAGAAAATGGGCTCTAGCGAACTTCTCCAAGAAATGGCCACGGTGCGACACTGGTCTCGTCACTGGATAAACTACATTTATTTTCCAGCAATGCCGTCACGAAAAAAGACATTATCTGCGATCGTGTGGGAACGTGATTACTTATGTCGTGTTTTTACAGATGTCCCGGCCTAATGGTCCGACAAGATGTATTAGGCTGCCGGATTGTGCAGGGAACGCCTGGCGTTCCATATCCGGATTGCTGCGAAAGCATACGTTGCGACGAATCAGAGGGCAACTAACGCCGGACTCGTCGTCCGTATTAAATCTACGTAGAGATGAGCAGTCGTTGCTTATATTAACAAGCGCGAGCAGCTATGCGTCTGTTACATAACGCGCATTGGATCTCTATAATTATATAGGTGTGATGAATGAGGTGTGATCATAGGTGTATGGAGATCAAGTTATGTATTCGTTATATTATGCGAAACTACACTTGTGTAAGTTCGTAGAGTATTATGGGAGCATACGGGTATTTTGTCGTTATGATTTATCGGATGTATTAGTTCTCAGGTGTATTTTATTTTGTATTTTATTTATGTATGCGCATGCGTACCATCGCCTTCCGACCATCGTTGAATATTCGTAGGCAATGCAGTTCGTATGGTTACATTTGAGATAAAATTATTTTGTTTATTAGTTTATTTTTGACGAATTTCAATTATATTTCTTATTTGCTTTGCCAACATGTAAATGCTATATAAATCAATAAAGGATTGAACAAACTGGCAATAAACATTCGAATATTATTCATGTCTTTTCTCACACTTAAAATGTACATATTACAGTTAAGAACGGTCGCGAACATATATACCCACAAAACTGTTGAGAAAACAACATTTGTTATATCTCCTTCACGGACGAAAGTACGTGCGGTGAACGCAAGCTATTGCCTATAGAATTCCAACTGTTTACAATATATCTGCGGAATACGTGAAGTGAATCTGCAATGCATTAATTATTGTATTAGTATTTAGGTTAAACGAAGACAAATCGATCAGCGACCTATTGCTAGAAATATCATGATTGGTACGTCATCATGAATCTAACATTTGAAGTGAAGCACCATGCTATTTAAATATTAAGCCTGTTGTTGGGGGCCTATGCTCTCATAGTCAGTGGCGTAGCTAGGATTTTTTCAGCAGGGGGGCACTGGGCCTTACATTTTCGTGGGGGGGGAGCACAATATATAACTTTTTCTTGTATTATACTTTCTATACGGCATTGTTTTGAAATTCAATTTTTTTATCAAAGCATGAATTTTTAGTGGGGGGCACTTGGGGGGGGACACAGACAATTTGTGGGGGGAGCACGTGCCCCCCAGGCCCCCGTAGCTGCGCCCCTGTTCATAGTGTTGGCTAAGGAGGTATAGTGCCCGAGCGGTAGCGAGAGCACTATTCCTTCCAAAGCAACACTATGAGAGCATAGTGCCCCCAACAACAGGCATTAATGTTTTTAGTGGCATCAAGGCAAATATGAAGTGAATAAAAAAATCTGGAGCGCTCCATGTTGTTGTCGTCTGACTGAATAACAACGCTGATCTCGCCATCTGTCGATGACTCAGGAAAACTGCTACAGGTAGGGGAAATTTAATTCAAACAATGCAAATACATCCATAAATGCAATAACATGAATAACAATGCGTCGGCGCAAGCAATAGGGCCCGCTCAGGGCGGGCACTATTGTTTCATAGTACCTGCGACGTTATCCAATGAATTTCAACGATTTATCACGTGATGCACTAAATTTGTATAACGCCCTCTGTTACCTTATGGGTACGGCCGTATATGTGATCGTATCAGTGGTAGTGACAGATTCGTGCCTTTTGGCGCGTGTAAGAGATTACCATTAGATAGCGTTGTTTAGTAGAGACACAGCGACAACTGACGAAAGAACAAGGTATAAACGTACAACATGTGTATTAATCACTCTA